GGGGACTTGGACTCAGACTTGAATTTGAACAGAGTGCATAATGAAACATAATTTAAATGACTAACCAAGGGCTTGAACTTAAATAAATGAACTTGAACTGGACTTGGACTTGATGTGGACAACAAGGAACATGACTTCAATGCAATAAATACATATTGAAATTAAGATGTAAAATCTTAAATGATAATCCAAAGCATTCAAGTGAATATTGATTAATAAAAAGCCCAATGTCATTTGCCTCTAACCAATAATGTGAGATGCCTCATTCATGAACAATAAGTGACTTAAGCTTGGACAATTGAAAAGAAATCGGATTGAGCTTGAACTTAACTCATATGACAAGATTTTGGACCCCTGAATTAATGATTACACAAAAGATGTGAAAATATAAGGTCCTAAGTGACAAGTTCTGGACTTTCAAATAAACAACAATGAGCAAATAGGAAAATAATTGCATTCAAAGGATAATAACCCACACACAATTGTGAAGGTAAACATAAACCTTCCACAAAACATAACAGCTCATTTGTGAGGAGAAGATGAGTGTGTTGTACATCAATAATGAACAAAATGTAGGAGAGGTACAACAGATGTAGCACCTGTGTTCAGTTAAACATATCATGTCCTAAAAGCAGTAAAGTTCAATATACAAGCAAAGATATTTGTCTTCTACGACATATGATCAATATGCGGAGAATGTGGCGATATTTATGAATTATTGTAAATAAAAATAAAAATCAATTAATCTGTAGCATCTGAATAAACTGCAAGCAAATACATGAACAAAGATTGCAAATCACACAAGAATGATGACGACCTATTGTGACATTTGTACCAATCATATGGAGAAGATAGTAGTCCACTAGCAGAAAATACTAAAGGGAATTGCAAGGAATATGGTTGATGTTAGTTAGCTTGTAGTTAATGATGTAACATCAATTAGTTTACAAACAAGTTCATTGACCAGCCTGTAGTAAGTGATGATAGGTATGCAATGAAAGGGGTCATTCCTTAATGTGGGTACAACAATCTATCTGCAAGCTAAAGTAGATGATACACAATAGATGCAAATGATCATGAGTAACTACAAAAGACCCATTCCATATTCAACATGTCAATTGCAACCTAAAGGATTTGATATGCAGTGAAAATGACAACATGTTACATCTAGATGGATTCAAGTGAATGTCAACACACAATGCATTGGGCCCACTAGAGTTAATGATTAATATTTAACAATATGCTGTTAAAGATTAATGCAAAACTTGGTAGCCTAAACTCACGATTACAAGTAGAAAATACACCTGCTATTCCAATCATCTCAAGGACTGCAACAATTATTTTAGGAAAGGATTCATGTAGCCGACCCCACGTAGTGGGATAAAGGCTTGATGTTGTTGTTGTATACCTCGCATGGCTCTCTTAGATGGTCTGATGTGCCTTCAATTGCTGCAGTTATCAGTTCAAAGTGGTGGCCCTTGATTTCGACGTATAGGGCATCAGTAAGAATATAATTATCCAAGGTTGAAATGATTGATTCTTTATTTAAGCTAACAACAAAAAATGCTGATAATGGCTTAATTAGGGAGTTACCTATTGATTTCTATACGAGTTCTGGGAAGAGAAAACCAGATCAAATCATTATTATCAAAAGATGAAGTGACTCTCAGTTCAACCAAGTTTTGAATATTGAGTTGGATAAGATTATTCAGGCTAGCAAGTTTCTTGATGAACGGTGGTCATGCATCTGACATACCACCTACAGGCAAATACATAAGGGCTACGACAAATACGAGTTCCTACGAGTTTCCATAGAAGACCCGCCAAATACTACAAAAATGCCACATGCATACACATACGATATATATACACATAAACACAAGTGAATACATACGTAATCATACACCCGCATGAGCCCCGACAAGCGTGTTATGGGTATATAGACATGACATCTAGGAATACTACGCGGGTCAAATAATAAACCTAAGTTCAAGCCCGATCCTCCTATACGAGAGGATAGGAGTCGACATGGCTTGAACCGAGATATTTGTCTTAATACATTTATATTAGGCCTTCAAAACCTTCAACAAAGAAAATTCACCAAGAAAGACAAAACCACTGATGAACCTGATCCTCTATCGACAAGTTGACAAAGTCGAGAATGTTCAGTCAATGAAAGTGCCCATAAATTATCACGATGATGGCCGTATTGAACGTAGATTAAATGAGTTAATTTCAAATATCTCAAAATACATTCAAATGTCATTCAAATATCCACAAAATTGAAAATCCAAAAATCCCAAAATATTTAAAATCGAAATCCACCATCAAAACACTTAAAGAAAAATCTATCCATCCTCTGCAACGGTTTGTCAAGGTGGAAAAATCTGAAAATTACTTCAGCTTATAAAGAGTCAATGTCTGGTTGAAAATATCACTAAAATTCATTCTAAAAAAGTCTCTTGCCAGTAAGAACGTGACACGTGTTAGCTAACTGGCGATTTTGTCACTAAATGGCACTGCATGTAAACGGTCCTCTGAACCGAGTGATTTGCTGTCAAATGGCACCACTAAATTACGATTATGGCCAGAGCTCGTATGCTCTCCAATGACACTAAATTCTTGAGATATGAATTAATAAGGTATAATCGATAGAGCACAAAGCCCCCTGTTAGCTAAGGTGGATTCAGATTTATCCCCTTAAACAAACATTCACCCCAGGTCTATAAGGTTCCCTTAGACGACGCAACTCATGGCTGCCGACAAGGATCCTTCTGTCAGGTTGGGTTGAATACCTCCTCTAACTAAGTAGACCATGGACCAAGATGGCCCGGGATGATAAAACCATGGGATCTTGATCGGGTCTATCATTCATTCCCCCACCATCCGCTTTAAGTGCAAGAGGGTGAAATTTCATATTTTAAATATCAAATCCTCAAACTTCCACATGCCCAAACCCAATGCTACTATTATAAGACAGATAACACATATCTCTACGTATCTGATCGATAACTAGTCTTAATCGAAAGTTCTCAATCGTGATCGGGAGGGGTAATTAACTATAGGGCTTGCGCCTATAGGAAACCAAAACTCAAATCATAAAGTCCTTGCAAAATGGGAGAGAAATCTCTGGGTAGTGTCTTATCTATAAACCAAATCTGCCTTTCCAAAATTTCCCTCGGAACTTAATCCATTAAAACTCTCCTGAAAGTAGGGCTGCAAGCGAACCAAACGTTCGACAAGCTACTCGTTGTTCGGTTCGATTAAAGCTCGTTTGTGATCGTTTAATTAATTAAACAAACAAACTTGAACAATATTTTAAATACTCGATTCTTAAATAAACAAACTTGAACACTAATGCGTTCGGCTCATTTATGTTCGCGAACAACATCATTTGAAGTTCGTGAACAAGCTCGACATTAAGCTCGATAAGAAGCTCAATAAAATCTTAATTCATGTTCGATTTTGAACTCGTGAATATGCCGGGATCAAATTGAAAGTTGTGAGAGTGAACAAAGACAGTAGGGGCTAGGATCGACATTGCCTATAAGGAATTATGCAAAGTTGAATCGCGGGTCAAGGGCACGAGATCTGTTGGGTCGGTCAATTGATTTATCAAGCGGATATGGTGGACTATAAGAAGCAAGTTGAGAGGGCAGATGGGATTGGAGGGGGTCAAAGTCACTGAAGCGCGCGTAGGTGACACACACGTGCGGGTCGTGCTGGGCTGCAGCTAGGATCGGGTTCGGAGGCGGGCGTCGTGCCTGGTTCGCGTGCTGGTCCTGTGTGCAGAACAGAGAGAGGGAGCTCTATTCAGTGTGGGCCGGCGAGCGTGGGTCGTTGCATGCAAAACAGAGAACGGGAGAGAGGGAGGTTTGGTTGGGCTTCGGCGTCTGGGCGCAGGATCAGAAGTGGCCTGGAGAGCAGGGTTTGGACTTCGGCTTCCTTGCATGTTAGAGAGATAGAATGGTGTGGTTTCGTTTCTATCGTTTGAGGGAGTTTTTGTATGTTATAAGGGAGATCATGGGAAGTTATGTGGAGCAGTTGCATGAGTGGAATCATGGGTTGGTGCTTTTGTGGGTGGTTGCAGGTCTACGGTCAACACCTAGCTCTACAGATCTGTTTGGATGATGGAGGGGGAGATGTCTGCTCCTATATGTGTACTCGTAAGATTTCCTGATCTGTTGATTAAGATATTTTTCTTTTCTAGAATCTCCTTCATTAAACATGATGAAATGGTAAAAATCATAAAATGGAGTGAATTTTGTGATGAAGAACATAGAATGAATATGAGTTGGGAACAACATGATTTTTAACACCTAACTCAACGTCCCTAAATCTATCAATATTCATTTCACCTTTTCTTCATGACATTTTGCACTAATACTTCAATAAAATTAATGTCCTCTAGATTTTGTACCAACCAAAGAATTCTCAGAGCATAGATGCACGCATGGCATAAACAAATCTCTTGCATAAAAATTTGACTACACATGTACAATCGGATTTAGTCTCTTATGCAAGGAGAATTGCAGCATAAGTACCATTTTTCTCTTTTCTCTTCTCTACTTTACTGGTGATGGTGAGAGTATATAGTGTGATCTAGAGGTTTAGTGAAAAAGCATTGCTGCAAGAATTGCAGAAGCATAAAAATGATTGGACATCGTTTTTTTTCACATAGAAGAAATACCCAGCAAGCCAGTTTTTGACTGTGCACCAAAATCACAGGTTTCACACATTGTAATTAATTATGTCAGTAACCACAAGCAACACGCAGGGACAGACAGAACTGAGAGAGAGAGAGGAGCAGCATCCACAAGACTGCCCAAGTGGTTCTGGTTAGCAAATGCAATGCTAGTCCACTGTCGTTATCAACAATGAGAGATATATATAATATCCGGAGATGCAGCTTGACTTAGCATGTAATAAGATATAATAAGAACAACATTATACAAGAAATAGCAACATAGGTGCATATGAAGGATAACTACTGTAAGTACCTCTCCAAAAGACCAAAAGATGGAGATCTTCCTAGTCCATACTGTTTGAATAAGTACCTTACAATGTCACCTGTAATGGATTTCTTTAACATCAAAAAATATGAATGATATGTCATTATGATCTAGAAGTAAAACTATCAAGCAACAGAGTTCGATAAGGAAGCAACATCAGTGGGAAATTATATGCGTTACGATTTGTCAAAATGGCAGGAAAAAAACTTTCCTGTTCTCACGCATAACTGCATACAAAAAAGGGCTATTTAAGGTTTCATTTAGGACGACTTTCTTGCTGCTTCTTAAAGCAGCTTTCTAATAAAAATAAATAAATTGTGTACTAGAAATTTTCTTTAAGATTCAATAAGAAAACCGTCCCAAACAAAGCCTAAATTACCTGTGAAAAGAGAAAGAGGCATGGAAATATGTTCGAAGAATAATAAATTATAAACAAATTTCATGCCATTGCTACGATCCTATGGTTTCAAAAGCATAGCATTTTTTCTGTAAAAAAAAATTGCTGAAGTTTTGATCAGAACTATATCAAACATAGTATGTAAAGCTTGGCAAATGGACTGATTTAAGACATAATCTTCCAACTTCAAACAAAGTCAAACAATAGATTGTGATTTTAGTAAAATGAGATAAACAATTGCCAGAAGACTTACCACTTTCATACATTGAAACGCCATTATTTAAGTCAATAAGAAACGGAAACCTGCAAAATATTTTGGATAGTATATATAAGCTTAATCAGTGACTAAAAAAATTAGAAAATAGTACAAAAAAATTTAAGTCAATCGTTCTAGTTATGTTGCTGTGATGAAACAAATGTATAATACGTGCTAAAGAAAAAAAAAAGTAAGATTTTAGACAGGAACACAAGTGAAAATACTCATGCAGATTATTTTAGAAATCATTCAAACTGTCAAATCCACTTTACAATTTATGAAATTACGATGCTACAGTAATAATGCAAAACAAAATACCCTTCTTTGATGCAAACCAAGCTCAGTCGCAATTTCCTCATATGGCAATACATAACAAAATGCGCTAATATGTGTACCGAAGAACTAAGAGGAGTGCTTACTGCTCCTTCCCACCAGTTTTTCGAACTACTTCTCTGTGCCTTTTTGATCCTTTTGGGCAAGGATAAACCTACATAAAGTATGTTGGATAAAAAATATTAAAACATAACAAATAAAGAAAGAAATCAATCTTTGTCCCAAAAACCCAATATTCTACTTAAAATTTGGCTTCCATTGTAAATATAATTTCATTTTCCCTACAGAGAACTTTAAGCAAATGCGTGGTCTGTAAAAGGAGAAAAAAATGTGAACATAGGGTATTAGAAGTTCTACGTATTATAAGTTTCTGTGTACCTCAGAAGAAAGATCCAGTTCAGTCATGGCTTCTCGCACTCTCCTACAAAATGGGCAAGCCTCTGTTGACAAATAATAATCAAAACACCCCAGTCGTGAATCATTGTAATTCCTATAAGGAAGAGTACAAACAAATATTCGTGACAGAATAAAAAAATGAGATAAATAGAGAGCAAAGGTGGGTTAGCTGTAACTGACTAAGAAGGCTTGATCGTGTCCATCTATCATGAGGATCAGAAATTTACCGAATTCGTAAAGTTGCAACTTTGGTGATTTTCCTATGGATTCAGGGCTGTGTGCAGTGCCAATTAATGATCTTGAACCCCATGGAAGTCTTGCCACGCTAGACAATGAAGATGTTGCCACCTGCAAAGAGCATGAAACTAAAAATAAAATACAACTCAACCTTAACGCAGCCAAAGTAAAAAATTTATCTAAAATTGTTGAAATATTAGGTCTTGCAGCATTAAGTAAATGAGTAAATCTTTAGTTTGGAAAATCTAGTTACAAATTTTGGGAATATCCTATTCAGTTTCAACAAATTGATATCAGAGGAAGGTTTGAGGATTCTTTAGAATAAGGGTTTCTATGATTAAGATTTTGAGAGATTTGATGATAATACTGATTTATTGATCTAGAGAAAACATATGAAAGCCATTCTAGTACAGATAAAAGTAGTTAAATTTTGGAAGAAGAAAGAAATTTGCTAAATTCATAGGTACAAATGAAAGCATAAATCAAAGAGTTAGTGTATGATATGTTAGTGTTGCATTTGAGCCACAATGTATTCCATAAGGTTGATAAGCAAACGGCTATTGCAAGAATCTGATTGAAACTAGAATAGATGCATATGACTGAGAACTTGCAAATTAAGATTCAAAATAAGAATAAATTGTTTGGATTTGATATGTCAGAGAGGAAGAGTATAGAGAATAACATGGATGATTTCAACAAAATTACCGTAAATTTGGAGAATCTTGAGGTCAAGATGGATGATAAAGATCAATCGATTATCATTCTGACAAAAATCAATCGCATATCATTGCCTAAACTGTATGTGTACTTTGTTGAAACTATGAAATATGATAGGGAGGCTCTATCATTGGAAGAGGTTCAGAAAACTATTAATCTAAAAAATTGAAACTAAGGATTGAAAAAGGGTCACAAGAGGATCTAATTTTAAATGCTAATGGTAGATTGGAGAAGAAAGAAAAGTGTAAAAGGAATTTTAAATTGGCGTCTAAATCTAAGACCAAATTTAAGTGCATTTTTCTTTTTCTTTTTTTTGGGGGAGCGCAGGGAGAAATTACAAGAAAAATTGTCCTAAATGGAATAAGAATGAAAATGAAAAAGAACATGAATTTGAGGATGATTCTGTGTGGTCAAATAGTATTGAGGATGCACAGGATTTAGTGAGTACTAATAATTATGACAGTGATGGTGGATGATGGATTCAAGTTGTTTGTTTCAAGTGACCACCAATAAGCATTAATTTGAATAATATAAAAAATTGAGCATTGGGAAGATTATCATAGGAAATAATACTATTTGTGAAGTCATTGTGATTGGAACTTGTGGGCTCCGAAAATTTGGTCCCGGCCTCCGCCCGCTTTTCTCTTATTCGGCGAGGGAGTTTTAACGGAATAAGTTCCGGGGTAAATTTTGGAAGGCAGATGGGTTTGTAAATAAGACACTACCCAGAGATTTCACCCTCATTTGGTGAGGACTTTATGATCTGAGTTCTGGTTTCCTATAGACGCAAGCCCCTATAGTTAATTATCCCTCCCGATAACGAGAGAGAACTTTCGATTAAGACTAGTCGTCAGTCAGATACGTAGAACATACATATTATCTGGCTATAGTAGCAGCAATTAGTTTGGAGTTTGAAAATTTAGGAAGTTTGGAAACTTGGGTTGAGATATTTGAGGGTTTGATTTTTAAAACTGAAAATTGCACTATCTTGCAGTTAAAGCGGATGGTGGGGGAATAGATGATAGACCCGATCAAGATTCCATGGTTCCGTCGTCCTGGGCCATCGTGGTCCATGGTCTACTTAGT